AGTACTGGGGATCCTAGAGTCAATTTGTTGGTAACATGTTTACCAGGAATTATTGCATTTGCACTTTTTTTTATTGTCCAATGATCGAATGTCAGATTTTTGTTTTGGGGTTACTTTGATAATACTCGATGACAGTAGAAAACCACGCGAGATTCGCAAACAATTTTGATCAAGAAATAAGAAATTTTGAATGAGTATGTAATCAGAAACATCATAAGCAATATAAAAACAATATTGATTTTGCCATGACTATATAGGAAATACATTTAATAAGTGATTGTTTGAGTGCCTTTTCAATCAGGCAAAAAACAAGAAAAAATTTCTTTTGGAGGTATTTGGAACATATGTAAAACATACTGCAAAATACACAATACGACATCAAAGGGAATACCCTAAGCTACAAAATGGAACCAATATTTTCAATTCGGAAATAGCGTAGAGTGTAAATTTAATCATTATATTCTACTATCAATGTTACCCGCATTATCAAAGATACCCCGTTTTACGGTACCATTAATCAAGGATTTTGTCAAAATCTTTGGTTGCATAATAAAGTGTAAATCAGAAAAGTATATTTTCTCACTGCACACTGCTCAACGGCAAAAATCAATACGCGGTCAAAGAGCATGAGCCAATTTTCCTACGCCTATTTTCATTTAAATTCAAATGCAACACATTTCTTGACAAGAAGAGCAAAAGATGAAATGGATTTCGGGTGTGCTATCTGTTTCTTCTTTCCAGACGAGCATCAGTATTGATATGCCACAAACAAAAATTATACGTGAAGTAATACTAAAAACATATAGTCAAAGTACATAATTCTGGATGGGAGCATACCATCAATTACTGTCAATGGTCGAAAGGTACAGTAGCAACACCTACCCCACCCGTGTCCCCTCGAGATCGTCAAGTCGACGATGACAGGAGCACATATCGTGGTAGGGGTAAACAATAGTTGCAATTTCCAAACCTACGACTGGATGCCTTCCTTCAAATAACAATTGAAGTGCGGTAAAAATCGGTAGAACTGTTTCAAACACACAGTTGGTACTTGAACGGGTCGGTTTTCATCTCTTTTTGCCAGTGGTGGCGGGGGGGGGACACCCCTCACCATCCCTCTCCAAAGGGGGAGTTTGGTAAAGAGAGATGAAAAAACCGATTTGTACCTTCCTTAAAAGTTGTCCTAGTTCGCTATTCTAATATCTATATACAATCTTCACACTGCCGTACTCTAACGGAACTATCAACTCTATGCTTTCATCTACTCCATCTATCGTATAAAAATTACCACTACAGTCTGTTATTTGAAATTAGCATCTTCAACTATGTAAATCGTTGACTTCACGTAGAAGTGATACTAAAAACATATAGTCAAAAAAAAAATTATTAATTTTAATTGTGATGCAAACATTTTTCACGTAAACTTGTATTTCATTTCACGCAAACGAACAGCTTGTAAGCAATGTTGTTAACAAAGATGGGCTTTTGTATACAATATTTGCAACATTTCATGAAAAGTCTCAGCACTTTACACAATTTGTAATGTGTTTACATTATATGATGTGTGCATCCTATTGAACAAAGATTTACACTTTTTTCTTGAACTGTGTGCAGGGTCTGACTGTTGAAGTGAAACATAATTAATTGCTAAACACTTGAAGATAGATACGATTTTTCATAAACTTTTGTAAATTCAGGAGTTAGTAAAAGCATTATAAATGAACATTCTGAAAACTATTTGCAATAGATTTGCCATTTACTACAGAGTTCGAGTAAATAGTGAACATTTCTGTTACATATGATGCACATAAATGGAGCGTCATATATCAAACAAGTTTACGTTATGTATCATGTAAAGTTATGAGACATTCCAAGGAATAATCCAAATATTGTATGCATTCGTGTAGCTTTGTTTGAAATATTTCTTACAAGTTTACACGCATTAATATTTTCATCATCAGAAATATTCAGAATTTGTTGCCGTGTATGACCTCTACAGTTTTTTTTAATCCCGCACACCAAAAAAATATGAATTTTAATGGTGATGTAAATATCCATGCATGCTACAATTGAAGCATGTAAACTTCCTTTTCACGTAAACTAGCAACTTGCTAGAAATATTGCTTACAAAGATGGATGGTTGCATACAATATTTAGAATATTCTATTAAATGACTCATAAATTTACACGATCTGTAATGTGAATTTGTATGATATGTGACGCTCCATTTATGTGCATCATAGTGACAGAAATTTACACTCCTTTTTCGAACCGTGCGTGAGCAGAAATCGTTTAGTATTGTTTTTCAAAATGCATTATTTAAAAATATAAACCATTAAAATTTATCCGTTTTCTGCTAGAAGAATTTAAATTTGGTATATCTATACCTTCACAGTTCGAAAAAGTAGAGTAAATTTGCAATCAATGTAATGCACATAAATGGAGCGTCATATATCATATGATAGATCATGTAAAGTTATGAGACGTATAATTAAATATTAAAAATATTGTTTGCAAGTGACTATCTTTGTTATCAATATTGCTTGCCAGTTGGTGGTTCGCGTGCTATGAAATACATGTTTACACGCATTTAGATTGTGTGCAAAAGTCTAATTTTTGTTTTGATGATCATCTCGAGACAATTTTTTCGGGACATTCTTACTATATTTTAAAAACACTTTGGTGCATGCATTGCTTGAATAGCAAAAGTGTTCCCCATTCTTACTAAAAAAAATATGTCAAACATGATGCATTATTGCCGGACCCACACAGTTCGAAAAGTAGTGTAAATTTCTGTTCAATATGATGCACACAAATGGAGCGTCATATATCATATAATTTTACATTATATATCATGTAAAGTTCTAGCACAATTCATGCAATGTAGCAAATATTGTATACAAAAGCCCATCTTTGTAAACAACATTGTTTACAAGTTGCTCGGTTGTGTGAAATTAAATTTAAGTTTACATGAATGAATGTTTACATCACAATTAAAATTCAGAATTTTTATCTGTGCAGTAAAATTGAATATAGGGTATACGTCCCTAACCTCGGTCTAATATGCAGCCATAGATTACGTTTTTAATCATAACTCATCAATTAATTTACCTGCAAACGATATTCTACTGCTAAATGGTATGCTTAGATATGCTTATCATGTCGTTTGCTATCAGGAACCGCAAAAAGTTGAAAAACTTACTTTTTTTAAGACAAAAACTCACCAGGGAAATGTATGTAATATCGGTCTATTGTCCCCAAATTGGGTCTATTTATGGATGCAACTTCGTCCTATCCTGTTTGATTCTCAAAAAAAACGCTCTTGGTAACGTTTTCTTATGTATTTTTTTTTATCACTATCACTGTTAACTTAATACTCTTCATTCCTCAAAACATTTCTTAGAGAAAATTTTACGAAAACTACATTAAATCACTCAAGTTAAAAATTAAAAATTAAAAATTTCGCTTATCGTCTTTCGACCGCAGAATATCTAAATCAAAACATTGTGATGTTCATTATACAGATTTGGCAGAAAAAATCTCCCTTCCTGTTCGTTCCTTATCATCCAAATGCAAACCACATTGTTGACGTTACTCTTATTGCTATATGCTGTCAAATGAATTTCATGGGCCAAAGTTAGGAACATAGAAAAGAAATGTGTCCCTAAAGTTGGGTCCATGATTTACTTGAGAAAACGTTGTTAAACAATTAAAATAAACATAAAATATTCAAACAGTAACTGTGAGTTTTACGTCTAGTGTGTATTATCAGGTAATTCCATTCAATAAATGCCATAATCAGGCCATTTGATGATCGTCAGTGCAACCTTCCCATCTTAACCTTAGAAGTCATGGCGGCTAAAAACTCCGAACAGAGTGATATTCTCAACCAGTTTTATTACTTACGAGAGCTGAAAATGTATTGAAATGTTGTGATATAAATTGATTTGTGTGTGGTACACATTTATCAATCATCAGTGATCAATATTTTCCTTATTTTTTGTGTAATATTCCTTAATTAATTATTTATTTGCGTGATAGGCCGAATGAAAGGACTAGACCCACATTACATACCGTAACCCTATATTGATCCCGTAATTTGTAAGATTTTTTTTCCAAATTGTTATTTTGACTTGGTAGCGGTTTTTTAGAAAGATAAACCTAGTTTTTTTTTCTGACGCTCGTTAATAAATTTAAGTAGTTTAAATTGACATTTCCTACAACTTAAACTTTGCCGTGAAACAACAATCTCAAAAAGTTAAGGTTTAATTTATGCTAAAAAAATTAAAAATCTATAATTTATTGCATCATGAACAAGGTAGTCGCAAAACTGCTCAACAGCATGGTAACTTTCGCAATCACTGATGTTTTCAATGCATTGCATCATTAGAGTAGTTGACGATTTCTACCACTTGACGTTTTCTAGCACGGAGTAATATTATAAGATTCTTATTCATTAAAGGCTGAAATTTTTTTAAATTTGTTGCCTCATATTCTTAAAATTTATCAAGGAAGGCCGTCAAGAAACTAAAAATTAATTAATCATATCGTCGAGTTGATTTTAAGGAAGTGAAGTGATATATACCTAATTTTTCTAGTTTAGCATAAATAACACCCTATTTTCTCGAGGTTCTAGAAAAAAAAAATCAAAATATTATCCTAAGGCATAGTTCGAGTGGTAAGAAACGGTATTTTAACATGCGTAGTACATTGGGACCTTTTTTATCAATGCATTCAGGTCATTTTCTGCAAACATAACTTACACGGAAACTATTAACTAAGCTAAAGATCTCCACAAACGCATCGAATCACGGTTTCCTTAACATTACCGATACCGTCTAGTCCATCAAATGTTCGGATGAGATCGGCAAAATAAGCGCTCAATACCGCACTGCGTTCATGCCGACGGTACTTTAGTCCGGACGCATATCACGTTTTACACACAAAGTACAGGGCATCGTAGCTTGTACCAAAAGAAAACATTTGAAAACTTCACTCACCTGCCACTTTTGGTGATGACCATTTCCGTTCCTAGTTTGTGAAACTTCTCCCACAGCTCCTTGCCTTCCAAGGTAACCTTGGGATCATCGACGACGCCGTCGTCTTCCGGCTGCAGAGCACGCAACGGTCTCATAGCTGGATGGTGCTGATGTGCAGCAACAGCGGCCATTACGACGTCCTCGGCCGTCGTGTAAGCAGCTCCTAGCGGGTGATGTGCGTGCGGATGGTGGGGAGGTAACTTTGGTAACAGTGCTCCCGGATAGAGATGCGGCGGCGGCGCTCCCGGAGCACCCGAAAGGGCCGCCAGCGCTGCGGCTGGAAAATACTGCGCGTTGGCTGCGGCACTTGCGGCAGCTGCTGCAGCACTGGCACCAGCACTAGGCGAGTTCTGTCCTTGGGGCGGAGAGCCCGCAGTCAACAGCGACGACACGCTGAAGTCAGTGGGTCTCGGTAGCTGCAGGAATGGATGATAGGCCATTCCCTTCGCCGGCCTACTGAATTCGTCAGATTGGAGTAATTCTTGACCGTCGTATCTCATCACAACATCACCGAGACGTCGCGTGTCGTCTTCCTTCGACCTTCCTCACCCTGTGCTGTCGGCAGTTTGTTTCTCGGTTTTCAAGTTCTTCACGAGTTTTCAACACTTCTCACTATCAATTCACAACGATTCACTGTTTCAACTTTTCGGTTTCGTTTTTTTTTTGCTTAACTTTTGGCAATTTGTTATCACACTGGTACAATTATACCGTTTTCGTTTTCTTTTCTTTTTTTCAATGTAACTGCACAGTACGTTCACGGTGATCAATTTCAATCGATAATTTATTCATGATAATTCATATCTCTTCCGTCACTCTTTCTGTGTGTACCGTTTTTCTTAGGGATTTGGACCAGGGAGCATCAGCGGCGGCAGCTGTAGTATTTTAATCTTCAGCAATTAATAATTAATCACTGTTCGCGTTTTAGCTAAACGCACCTCGCGCGAAAACCCCTGCGGTAGATATTCGACACAACGAGATCGGTGTAACACGTAACACTCACACTCTTAGGTCTCACAGAATGGTTGGCTTTTCTTCGGCTTTTGTTGGTTTATCCTGTTTTCCGCGAATTTTCGAAGCGCCACTTTTGGAACCGCGGATGGTTTCTGTGGACACACGAGTCGTGCAGCACTGTAGGGCTAATGGGGGCTACGCCACCGGAACCGCTGAGGCTACCACACAAACGCGCGCGCGAAGGTCGTAAAAAGTGCGTGCCGTGTCGTGAATTACCGTGACACTCTCTCACACCCATACAAAGCGGCACAGGTGATTACATGCACTAAAGTGGGACCGGGGAGGGTGGTGCTGGTGGTGGTAGTTGGTGGGTACGCTCACGGCGCGGGGGAGGCTGCGAGAATCACACGAGAGCGAGAGAAAAAAACGAAACAAAAACTACAACAACAACAACGATGCTAACTTCACGCCGGCCGTGTATGAACTGGTTACCGCTGCTGCGACAAACTAAGCGCTTGGTGTCTGGTTTTTGGTGTCTGTAATCACACCTTTCGTGTTGAGCTGGTGTCGACCGCACCCCTCTAGCCTCTCGCTCACACTCGCACACACACTCTCTCGGATGCGGGGCTCTGAACGGTCAGGCCACTCCCTCTATTTTGTGTGATAATCGTCGCGGATTGGTGTGTCGTAGCCAATCGGTACACTAACATCGGATTAGAGGCAAAAACTGTTGTGTGAAGTCGTCGTCGCCAAGAAGAGGACAAAAACCGGTCTTGAGGATCCGGAGCTACGACGACGACCTTTCTGTGTACAGTGTCGTTGGATTAGTGTGTGGTGTGAACAGCGGTCTCCAAGGAAGGTGGGGGTGATTCTGATTAATAAAGAAGTCTTTGACTTTTTTTTCCCTTACTACTGGTAGTATTCTTTTCGGCTCTTTGCTCTCATGCACTCTCCCCAGAGCTTCTTCTCTGCTTCACTCGAAGCACTTCCTTGTATGTGTGCATTCAAGCAGTTATTTATTTTCTTTTACCACTGTTGTTTATTATTCTTTCTATGTCTCCCCCTCTTGGATAATTTGCACAACTCTATGTGTGTGCGTGGTTTGGAATACTCTTTTATGCTTATGCTCTTATTTATTCTCTCGCGTGGTGTTGCACCGCAGTTGACACACTCACACCGGTTCGGGTGAAATGTAATTTTATATTATCTCACACCAACAAACAACAAACTTCCGATGTTCTCGTACTTCAATGATGGGTGCAAAAAATAACTCAACGACGATGACGACAAGAAATATGCTTACAATTTATGCGCAATAGAGACACTTTTGTTTGGCGCTTCGTCTTTGTCAGTCTCGCCATTTCTGTCCATGTGTCTGTGCTCAGTTCTGCTGTATCTGTATGGTTCGTCCCTGTGACAATACTTCCTCCACTCGTTTCGCTTGCCTATAAAGTTATTAGAGGATTTTTTACACTCTCACCACGACGAATGGGGCACATTCACACTCACGATCCGATCTTCTCCTCCCCCTCTTCGTCACACCAGGCACTGACTGTGGTGCGATACAGTGGTGGAATCGACACTTACATTTCACCACCTCCACAACGTTGATTTTCTACCCACTGCCACCCACAATCGACCGCCGGGTGGGAGTTGTAGACTTTGACATCAGCAGCAGCAGCGTCAGAAGCACTAGTAGCATAACCCACACCCACAGATTGGCGTAAAATTTACCAAATTCATTATTACACTCGAAGCTGTGATTTTTCTCTCCGTGCGTGCGTAAGGATATCGCTTCGATACTTTTTCTTCTTCGTCAGGACTTTCTCTTCCCTGCTTTGCTGTGCTCTGCCTTGGTCGTCCTGCGGGCTAGCTCTACCCAAACAACCAGTGGCAGAAAAAAAATGTATGTGAGTTTTTCGCTTCAGTTGAGCTGAATTTGTCCGAAAACAATTTCGGGCTTTATTGATTTTTTGTCTATCTCTTCACAACTTCTGTTACAACACAGCACAACACTCCACTTTCTGCTGAAAGCGCGCGGACGAACGGGAATTTCTTCTTCTAGGAAAATTTATTGTTCGATATCTTCTTACAGCACATTTCCTTCCAAGACCGATGGCAGTTTCATTGTTCCCAGGATGGAAGCGAGGAATTTCTCTTCGCTATTGATTGGATTTTTTTTTTTGCGTTATCGAACCGTCAGCTAGGGTGGAAGTAGAATTATTGTGAGCAGGCAACAATGGTTGATAAAACAAACACGTCTTGCGTGTGAAACAATTTCAAAGTGTTCAAGATTTAGTTTCCAAGCCAGTCAGATGCAGTTTAATAATATGTTCGGTTTACTAGCAATTTAACACATTTTTGCATCGCAAACTTGTTTAAAGAGCTATTAAAATAAATAAAATAATAAATAAATCATTCGGTGTAATGAAATTTAATCTTAGTTATGATTTCGACCCAACATCTTTAAAGGGAGCCATCCATAAATTACATCACGCAGTTAGGGGGAAAGGATTCGAAAAACCCGGGCAATTTGTGATATATAAGGGAGGAGGACTAAGCTCAAACGTGGCATCGCATTTGATTGCGTTATAAAAAATATATAGCGAAAATTAGGATTTCGTTAACGAAATCGGATAAAACAATATTTCTCATTCAGAAAAACAAACATTATCCATCATATTTTATTCCACAACTTAGAATTTTACTGATATCAAAATTGTCTTTAAGATAAATTGACAAAAGTATGTTGATTTGATTTACTAACCACCTGGATTTTTTTTTTCTGGCGAATTCTGAAAAGTATTTTAATTCATAGAAAAATATGTCGATGTTAGTAAACCTTAGAATTCGGACAGGATCAATGACAACTCACGCTGGCAGTCTTAGGTTTGAATGTCATCCCTGGATAAGTCACAGAGGACTACAAAATTGGTTAAGGTGACCACAGGAAAATCTCCATAACTCGATGTGCTATTCATATGTGGACTTGGTTCAGTCATTTATCTCGACAGTCTCAGAGCACCAAAATTTACATGAATTGTTCTTATTGTGTAAGTTGTTTTAAATCGAATACCAGGAAATCTCGATTAACAATTGTCTGGTTTTTCCCCCGTTATTTCCAGATCTTTGGAAATTTTCCAGATTGTGCCATATACATTTAAATTATGATTAAGTCAAATGCGATTTATCCAAAGGGATCAATGGGTAAAATGGGGCATTTCAAAGACTACTAAAATTTGTATCTGTTTTAACTACCTTTATAAATTATTATTGGAATGTTCTTAAGAATTAACTTTAGAATAATTACCCTTCACAGCGTTACTATCAGAATAAATATAAGATTCTCTGTGAGAGTTCCTTAATTTCTACATAAAAGTACAGACATTCTCTACAGAACACTCCAACATATTTGTGGAATTCATGCTAAGATTTTCTTCGATTTTTTTTGATTATTCAAAGAGTTGACATAAGCTTCATCCAACATAATCTGATTAAAATTCGCTTAAATTCTTATTATAAATGCTCCTCAAAATGCATCATAAAATTCGAAATTCTTCTAGAAATTGAGATGCCTTTGGAATGGATCACATCATTTGAGCAGTTTAAAATGAAGTATCTTACCACTTGAACTTTGCCCTATAGCATTATTTTGATGTTTTGTCTTTTAGATCGTCGATAAAATAGAGATCTATTTATGTCTGTCATTCTAAAATTAATACCAGTTCTTGAGGTGAAAGCGACCTAGTGAGTTAATTAAAATTACAAAAAAGGTTTTCTGTGAGATATCCCTTCAGTTTGGAAAAAGCGGTCGTCGTTTTGTATGAAATAATAAAAGGAAAATATCAACGAGAGCTTTTTGCAATCTGAAGTACTGACTGAAGAGAAAACCATTTTTGAAATTTGTATTTACGCACATTCATACCTACTTTTCTGAATGTAAAACATTTTTTATAAAAATTATTCTTAAATAAATAAACGATCATATGTTGGTTTTAAATCTACAACCAGATGACCTGCCATAATTTTCAAGGGGGTGGAGTCATTATAACAATATGTATTAATGTTTAGCAAATTTTGTGTGACTTAATTAATGAACGCAAGATTACCAACTTCGATGAAACCGATTTTGGAGCTGCGCAATGTTTTGGAATGAAATTGTGGAAAAATAATGAATTTGAGATTTTGAGGACCCATTATCTTCCAGAGTCCTTCTGCATGCCAAAACCCCACATTTATTCTTATATTATAATTTATTATAACCACAAAGTGCTCTCAAACCGATCTCGGAGATCAATAGGTTCAGTCTCATTAATTGAACATGCTTACATTAGCTTGTGTTAAGAGATGAACTAGCCTATGGCTAAAAATCTCTATAATAAAGTATTTAAAAAAAAAAAAAATTACCTCGGGCATCCCATAAAGCTGCGGAAATTCTTCGATTTGAAGATACTACCGTTACACCGGAAACTCTTGTACTTTCAAGATTTCTAGGAACTACCATATACTATGGGCATTCCAGAAGTTTCAGCAATTTCCGATAAAAGGG